ATTGTGACTTAGAAATGCCCCAAAAATGACAAGATTCAAGCCCTAAAGAAGATCTAACAAATGGGAAGTCAATGTTGAAGCTTTTTACCTCAAACAAGCTGGAAATGTAACCAATACTCTAGATCCACTGCCTTCTTCTTGAACCTCCAATCCTTTCCTTCCTTCTCCAAGCTTCAAATCACAAAATGGCACCAAAATAGCTTAAGGACACTCACAACTGATTAGGGTTTCGAGAATGGGGTTTGAGGGTGATGGAGGCTGGAATGGAGGCCAGTTAAAGTGTTTAAATAGGGTGCAAACCCTCAAATTTAGTGTTTCATCCAGACAGGTCTACTCGTCGAGTCGGGGCTTCCGACTCAGCGAGTAGACTCTTCCATCCGCGTCCAATCCTTCGCATCTACTCGACGAGTTGGGCCTCCAACTCGTCGAGTCCCTGAGTAAAAATGCAAATACTTATAATAAAATACATACCGGGAACCGGTCGTTACAGAAAAACTTTAAGTTTTAAAGTACCTATGTACTTATCCAAATTAGTAGATTTTTGAGTCTAACATGTAGCCCAGACGAAGAAGAAGATATGGGAAGAAGAATCGGGCTACTCCGAGTCATATGAGATTGTTGTGAGTGTTTAAAATTGAGAAAAAAGTATGCATATATCCGGTAAGAAAAAGAAAATGTCTTTTAAGTCTGGCAAATTTAAGTTTTCAAGTACCGATGCTTAAGGCTATGTAACTTAGGCCATACTTATCCAAATTAGTTTATATCTTAAGCCTAACATATAGTCAAAATAGAGAAAAAAATGTATGTACAAAGAATCCGCTAAATCCAAGTTCATATGACAGAGTTGTGGTTATTAAAAGTAAAGGAAATGCAGTAAAATATAAACATAAATTACAATACGATTCCAATTTTTACTCGAATCGAATGGTGTCGGACCCGACAGTCTCAAAAATAAAAATCATGAATTAGGAAAACCGAATACCAACCCGAAAACCTATATGGTATTGGCTCGGTTGGTATCGTCACTTTTTTTATTCACACTAATTTTGTGGGGATATAATGGTCAATTTCTTAAATTATGGATAAAAATGAGTTTTATAAAACATATGACTAACTTGTTACGGTCGTGCAGTAAATAATTTTATATAATATCATAGTGAACTATGTTCTCTAGATCACAGTTATGATCAAAAAAATTGTTTGTTTTAACACATTAAATGTTTTCTTTTTAATTTTAAACATAATAAATAATATACAATAAAAAGGAATATAACTTAGGAAGGTAATGAACTTTTGTTCTTGTTAACATTTAGTATTTTTTTTATATATCATTTACTATTTAACTTGTTGCAGGTGTTCACAAGATACCATGTGACCTATTATTGTAGGCTTTCGACAATTTTGGCGTCTCCGGCAAGTCTCCGATCAAGATGAGTTTTTCAGTGATTTCTCGGTGGTTAAAAATCTACCATGGATGCAACTTTAAACCCAAAAATCGAAGTTCATCCATTTTTCAGATATCTGAGTCTTGAAAGACACGAACACTCCAAATCGATTTCATCCATGGAGTGAAATCAAATATGAAAAACAAGCAGGTGGGTATGAAATCAAATTGAAGGACAAGAAGACGTGTCTCTGAAATTGAATCTGAAAAATAAGAAAGTGCATGTGTGTGGCAAATCTGAGAAACCCAAATATGTTGAGCATCTTCATCATGTTCATCATCTAACAAACACATAAACTATGTTCATCTTCATCGTGTCTATCATCCAACAAAACCCTAAATCTGAATCAAAATCATAATTGGAAATTTAAACCCTAAATCCAAATGAGTTTCCTGATTTCGTTTATAAGGGATGTTATGGAAATCGATTTATATGTGAGAAATCGAAAACCGGTGGGAACCTCTTCATATCGTCGCGATACAGAGGTAATAATCATGGAAATCGATTTGTGTGCGAGAAATCTAAAATTGAATGTATTCTGGATTTGTTGTATGCGTTCTGGATTTCTTGTATGTATTCTAACACACATCTGATTTGGTAATGTTCAAGAATTTTTCAATATTTGACAAGAACTAGTCGATATATTTATGTTTGACCAGATACTCGTCGGATAAGATAATCAGAGAGTTGTCGGCAAAGATAATCACTAGAAACCTTAAATAACATGTTATAATGATATTTTATAAACAAAGACAAGTTAAATAGTAAATAATATATAAAAATAACTAAAAATAAATAAAAACTAAAATTGATTACCCTCATAAATTATTTTCCCATCATAAAATCATAACTTACCTTTTTGACATAAAATGTTTGAAGAGTATTAAAAGTTACTAAACTAATGTAAAAAACATTTATTCACACTTTGTACTTCCAATACATTAAAAAATAGATTAAATAAGCTTAAAAAACACTCCTCTCTCTTTCTCTCTCTCTCTCTCCAACACAACCCTACAAATCTCTCTCTATACTAAACACTAAATGAAAAACACCAAAACAAGGCTGCAACTTTCTAACAAATGCTGACTGATTCCCTTTATTTTAAGTTAATTTGAGAGGCCACCATTACGATTACTATCATCATCATCTTCTTCTTCCATATGCACACTCACAAATCTATCTCTTTCGCATAATGGTTTAGGTTTGTTTTTGACGCACTCTTTTTGGGTTCATCTAGAACACAACACTCTTCTGCTTGTATTCAAGCTCTTCAATGGGCCCTCTTCTCCACTCAAGACTTTAATGGTGAGAAAACAGTAAAAAGGAGTCTCCATTTTGCTTTTCTTTTTTCCACCATTTCTTGCTGTCTTGCATTTTGGGGGTTTTAGGTCAAAATTATCGTTCTTTGAGTTTCTTCATAATTTCTTAGGTCTTTATTCATGGGGTTTCGATTTTTTCTCTCTAGAATTTCTGGGTTTTCGATTTTGTATGTGGAGATCTGAGTTTGAGTTAATGCTTTTTTATCAACTTTATTGACTGTTTTTAAAAGTTTATGCCTTTTGAATGTATTGCTCTTTTCTTTACCTTCAATCGGGTTTCAAATTCAAATTGTGGGTGCTTCGCTTCTTGAATCATAATCTTGATTTGAATCTTTAAGTTGAAGGAACCCTAATCTCAACAGGGTCCAATCTATGTTATCAACGCAAAGATTTAGGTTAATGTTATTGAAATTAACTAAAATCTTCAAAAACTGAATCTTGAATCTGGGTTCATCTGAAAATGTGGTAGGATCGATACTTTCTTTTGAAGCTTACCATTGGAGACGATGATGAATCATGAAATCTTGATATAGTCGCCGGAATTTCAAGAATGGAAAGAGGGATTCAGCCTCCTTTGGTAAATTCTTCATCTTTTTCCATAATCTTCCATTAATTACAGATTAAAAAAACAAATTCACGATCTTTTTCTATAATCTTTCATTAATTAAAGATTAAATAAAAAAAATCAATGTAGTAAGCTCAACATGTTTTTTACAGGTGGATACAACAGCTTGTTTATGTAGAGTCGACGTCGGCCTGAAAACCGTCGCCGGAGCAAAAAGATTCGTCCCCGGTTCAAAGCTATGTCTCCAGCCGGACATCAAATCATCAATCCACCCAACCAGACAAAAACCACCACGCGACAGAACCCGCAACCAATCCCCACTCCTTCCCGGACTGCCCGACGACCTCGCCATCGCCTGTTTAATCCGCGTTCCAAGAATCGACCACCGCAAGCTCCGCCTAGTCTGCAAAAGATGGTATCGTCTTCTCGCCGGAAACTTCTTCTACTCTCTCCGGAAAAACCTCGAAATCGCCGAAGAATGGGTTTACGTTATGAAAAGAGACAAAGATCGGAAGATGACATGGCATGGATTCGACCCCATGAACCACTTCTGGCAACCGCTGCCACCTGTCCCCAAAGAATACTCCGAAGCCGAAGGTTTTGGTTGCGGCGTTTTGAGCGGATGCCACCTTTATTTATTCGGCGGAAAAGATCCGATCAAAGGGTCGATGAGACGAGTGGTTTATTACAGTGCCCGGACAAATAAATGGCATCGAGCTCCCGATATGCTCCGGCGTCGACATTTTTTCGGGTCTTGTGTAATAAACAACTGTTTATACGTCGCCGGCGGCGAAAACGAAGGTATCCACCGGTCGTTAAGGTCAGTTGAGGTTTATGATCCGAGCAAGAACCGGTGGTGTTTTGTGGCGGACATGAGCACCGCGATGGTTCCTTTCATCGGGGTGGTGTACGGCGGGAGGTGGTTCTTGAAAGGGCTTGGGTCACACCAACGGGTGGTATCGGAGATGTATGAACCGGAAACTAACGTGTGGAGACATGTTCACGACGGAATGGTGGCGGGGTGGCGGAACCCTAGCACTTGTTTGAAGGGGAAGCTTTATGCGTTGGGGTGTAAAGATGGGTGTAAAGTTAGGGTTTATGATGAGGAAACGGATTCATGGAGTAAACATATTGATAGCAAGATGCATATGGGGAATTCAAAGGGTTTAGAGGCGGCGGCATTGGTGCCACTTAATGGGAAACTTTGTATTATAAGGAATAATATGAGTATATCTTTGGTGGATGTTGATGGTGGAGGTGGAGGTGGCGGAGGGGCGGCGGAGGCTGAGCATTTGTGGGAGACACTTGCCGGAAAAGGGCAGTTTAAGACTTTGGTGTCGAATCTGTGGTCTAGTCTCGCCGGAAGGAACCGCCTGAAGAGTCATATTGTTCATTGTCAGGTTCTTCAAGCGTGAGGTTTGAAGGTCAACAATGGCGGGTATATGATGGTCTATTAGGTTGTTTTAGATGTTTTTTTTGGGGTGCAAGAACTTATATATATATATATATATATATATATATATATATATATATTATACACACTTGAATGTTTTTAGTTTTTTTTTAACCGAAATTTTGGAGTATATTTCCTCTTTTGCTCATCAAGATTGTCTATTTAGACCTTGTTTCCTTCACATGAAAAGATAGAACAATGTTATTCAATATTTGACTTACATTGGATACACAAGACTCGAGACATAACAATGTTAATACTCTATTTAAACAATGTTATAATGTATTTGATATGCATTGGATTTGGTATAGAATAAAATTGTAACTATGGGAAAAAGAGGGAAACACCCTTGTCATCCAAGTTTATTGTAACTATGGGAAAAAGAGGGAAACACCCTTGTCATCCAAGTTTTATCGTGATTTGTCTTGTCATGTGTAACTAGATCTACTAATCTACTAGGTTACAATTATCAAACTAAATATAAATATACATAATGGGTTGTACTCCATACAATAAAAGTTGTATATCACGAACTATTTGGAAAAGCTTCATTTGGGTTAGGAATGTTCATTATTTGGATAAAACCGAATTGTTCAATTGGATTGGACTATTTGGTTCGGATATTCGGATTTTTAGATTGGTTTTCAACAAAACCGAATTACTATTTTGGATTTCGGATTGGTTTTGGTTTATAAAATATGAACTGAATAATCAAAAAAAAAAACCGAATAACAATTTATTATTTATTTATTTTTAATATAACTATAACTATTTATTAATTTTATAATTTATTTTTTCAAATAAGTTTAAAAAGTATAATCTAATAAAAAACATTAATATGCATTTTCTCTTAAAAGTTCCTTATCTATTAAATATTAAACTATAATATACATTCCTTATAGTTTATAAATTTTAAATCACAACTTAATATTTTTTGCTTCTATAAAAATTGGATAATATTATAATTATATGTCATTTTAAAATGTTTTACTTTTTGAAAACCGAATTATAAAAACCGAACCAACCGAATTGTAATTGGATCGGATCGGATCGGATTTGAATTTAGTTTGGATTATTCGGATCCATATTTTGAAAACCGAAATCAATTTGGATTTACTTAATTGGATCGGATCGAACCGATCCATCCAAACGAACACCCCTAATTTGGGTTGTTCAACTATAAAATAATAACATATGCAATTAAGTTTATTTACACTACATTAGGTAAAAAATGTCATACCTAAATAATAAAATGACTTTTAATACATTAATTAGTTAGGTTGCGAGGCAATTTCAAAGTTGGATAGTTGATGTTAGATTTGCATCTAATGAGAGGTGAGATGTAAAGAGAGATGAGTCCATAAGGATCTTGGAAGACTGATAGTCTAACACTCTTAACTTAAAAGAAAAATTGTTGCTGTTTTTAATTAAGATGTGTTGGATATATGGGGATACTATTATAGTCTTATATCACGTTTGAATATTTTTCGAATTTTTCATGCTATTATTTGTTATGAAATTATCAAATTAAGGTAGTTTATTAGTTCAAACAGTTTTATCAAATGCAAACCAAAATTCTTCATTTAAATTATGGGCATGTTAACGAGTTTATGAAAAAATTTAGGAGCTTTTAGCTTTGAAAAAAAAATAGAATTAAAGAAAAAACTTTGCTTGAAAGTACAAGTTTAAAGCTTTTATTTTAGCTTTGAAAAAAAAATAGAATTAAAGAGGTATTTTGAAAAATTAAACTATAATAAATTACAAATGTCCACCTGCTTTCTCTTTTCTTCTAAGTTCTAAAACAATCAATTGTCCTCACGCCTTCCTCTTAACTCATCCAAGTAACACAAATTACAACATCAAAAAAAAAAAAAAAAATTACCTAGTCTTGGATTCAGAAAGGTAAGACCTACCCAGAGAAAAGCACGTGTCTTTCTGCTTCTTATATTCATTATATCTCAGAAAGAAATAACCAAGATAATCGAAATCAATTGGCGACATTTTTGCCTGTTTTTCAATAAACCAACCCATCAACAAAATGAATTCCCACATTCTTTCTTCAAAAAAAAAAAATAATAAATAAATATTTGTCTGTGTGTGTACCTGGATGAGAGCCCATAGAGCCCAGTACAAATGTGAAGCCAACATGTAACAGCTCGTTTCAACATAAAGCACCTCCAAATCCTTCTCTGACACCTGTATACAGTGACAGTGACAATGACAGATGAGCCAGCCTAGACCCACCATATAAAATAGCCTTAGAAAGTTTGTCCAGTCCAGTCTGTTTATCAGATATAGTTTGCATGGTTACCTTATCAGGTCTTTCAGATTGTAAGTAATGCCTGAAGAAATGATATTGTTCATCCTTATTCGGGTACCTATATCATCATCATCATCATAACAAATGTTAAATAAATTTATAAATTTAAAGCTTTTGTAAAAACAATATAAGCTTACAAAGTGTAGTCACAATCATAGCCCGCATATTCATTGAAGTGATTCCCAATGTCAAACCCTCTATAACTATACGATCCATATTCAAAATCTATGATGTACAGTTTCTCTGCTCCAATATTAAAAAAAAAAACACCCATTAGATATATATAAATAAGGGCATTCACGTCTTTTTCACAAACGAGATATCGAAAGCGAGTCCTTGTCCATCCTGTTCCACCTTTTTGAGCGGGACAAAAATAATTCAATTTTTATCTCACCGACATCAGTCTCAGTCACAATCCAGTGCATGTCAAACTATGTACAACTTGTCTGTGATGTATTGTCCTGTGTAACAAACGGGGCCTTGGGCCCCGCTTGTTACACAACACAAGACAGTTTTGTACTGTGTTTGTCATGCATTGGATTGAGACTGAGACTGATGTCGGTGAGATAAAAATTGAATTATTTTTGTCACGCACAAAAAGGTGGAACAGGATGGACAAGGACTCGCTTTCGATATCTCGTTTGTGAAAAAGACGTGAATGCCCTCGTCATTAAGTTTGTCTAGTTGAGTTTTATGTTGTGATTTAAATTAATAAGTTTAAAAAGTAAAAAAGATTTGGGTAGAAAAATACCTTCGTCTTCATTCAGCATCAGATTTCCAGAAAGCAAGTCATTATGGGAAAACACAACAGGAGCATTAAGATGACCTGTCAATTCCTGTCTCATAAATAAACTATGTTTCTTTCAAATTTTCAAGACTTCAGCATACAAATTAACTACCCTATTTTATTAAAAAAAAAAAAATTACCTTGAGTTTGATAATTTCTGTATGGACTTCCTTAAATGAAATTGTATTGTATCTCTTTTGCTTCTCATGATCATCAAAAGTAAGACTGGATGCTGCCATCAACAGAACTTAAACTTTCAGCTGTTTTTTTTTATATAAATAAAAAAAAGTAAAAATTTAAAAATCACCTCTTTCAAAAAATTTGGAGATGTCAATCCACAGCTGAGGTTCCTTGGATCCGGGAATGTCTACTTGATGAAACCTATTAAGTTGCTTTGCAATTTCAGCTGCTAATTTTGGCTTTCTCAAGTCTGTAGTACATATAATATTAACTTATTAAATATCAACAATCACATTGAATATCAAATCTAGCAATGTTTCACCTTTTTACTAATTAATGCAACAATGTTTCATTTTTTTTTATTATCAAATTTGGTACTTACCTAATGGTTCTAATGTTCGTGCATGTATAAAAGATTGCATCATTCCATTCCCAAATACCCCTAGCAATTTGGCGCCAAATCCTGCAGCTGAGAGATAATGAATCGCCTATACAAAAAGATAACAAAATACAAAGTGAAAACAAGCATATCATCAGCTATAACAAATTATTCACAAGCAAAAAGATTGTGCAACTAATATGTATTATCTTTCTTTCTAACCTTTAGTTCTCTTTCCCTATCAATGACATACTCTGTGTTTGGACCATAGAGTCTAACTGTCACATGCACAATATTCCCATCTTGTTCCTCTACTGATACTTTGAGCACTACAACAGCAAATTCCAGAGGTTATGATATAAAAAGAATACAAAAACTGATGTGTCTTTATCTTTTAGTCTTTGAGGTATAACAAAAAAATGTAGTTTTTGATTGGTTTAAGTCTAGTTGATGTAAAATCAACAACTAAAACAAATAAATAAAAGATACCTACAGAGATTTGTGATGCCACCAGCTACTCTTTGGGCAGAGAAATGTGATTCATCCAAATTTGACCATTTTTTGAACAGGTCCTTACAAAGCTTTCTGTCATCATCAAATCATGAAACATATGGAAGTTGATCAACATGATTTCAAGAAATCATATTAAGAAGTAGAAACAACAACTTTTTTTCATGAAAACAAGAGAATTAAACAATAAAAAGAGTTGTAAGTAGGGTTTGAGATCAAATGATCTACATGTCACTGTTAAATTCAATATGTTTTGATACAAATTGTGTGAGTACCTTAAGCAATCAGTAGAACTACTTACACAGAGGCCATAGATTGGTAAGAATAACCCATACTAATTACACATTTAGCAAGCAATGGTTAGACATTAAAGTGTCAATTTAGTCGACCTAAGGAGGCATGAGATGAATCGATATAATTTTGTTGCCACTGATTCATTTCAACATTGAAAAGTGAGAAAATTTTGCAACTAAATCGACAAACGACTACTGTAAGTATGATAGAACAGATTTAGTAACGAGCATTAGATCCAGTATACTCCTTGTAGTAATAAAACCATACTAGTTCCTGCGAATTTGAAACGTAGGTTTTCAATTAACTCAAGCAGGAGAAATCATTCAGTGATACAAGTAAATTAAATCACTCTGATTGATAAAATGAATCCCCCTTACGAATCCAAAAAAAAGGAAGAAGATTTGACGATTTAATTCATCCGTTTCATGAGCAAACTAATCTCAAATCATGTCAAATAGATCAACCAACAGAACAGAGATATTTGAAAGAGCGAAAAGAGCATACACGAGACTAGGTTTCATCTCCGGAACAGGAAGGGTGTGGTCAACGGTAAGAGAAGAATACGGAA